TGTGACAACTTGTGACAACTTGTAACAGTTATTAAGAACAGTTTTTTTCAAACTCAGACTTCCAAGAACCTATCTTTCTACCAATTTTTTTACTTAAGACAAACTCGTGTCAACTTGTATCGGTTATTACTATGTATTTTTTCTGTCCTAATTCTCATCCTAGAAAAAAACTTAGATGTAACCTCCAATCAATAGGTATATATTGTACATTAATTACTAAAATTCTTTTACCTCAGATCCATTTTGTATCATCTTCTCCAGCTTTTTCTGATGCCTATACTTTCTTCTATGATGTTTTTGTGCATGAGTATCACAATAACCATAACCAGAATTAGTTAACTTAACACAACCATATTCTTTGCAAGGATAACAAATAGGTGAATCCCGGTGAACTTTACACTCATTGGGATGATAACATGGTCGATTACAGACTTCACCAGTTCTAAGGATATAGGGACAACGATAAAATGTCATTCTTTTTGATATTTATCTTGATTGAGTATATAATATGTATTGATTAATATTCTTTAGAATTAATTTTCATTTTGAACCTTTTAATTCTGAATAATATTTTTCAGAAAAAACATGAGTACCCAAAAAATCCAAGAAAATATCAATCACGTACCAGTAGAGACGGTAGCAGTACCTTCTCGACCGGAAAGCCCAGAAATCGCTGAAAATTTCGAACCAGAGGTAGAGGAAGAAAATAGCGGGGTGTTCTACCACCGGGGCTTAAAGCCGTAAGCGTTACCGAATATAAGTATAAAATTCACGATGATAGTGTAAAGCCAAGACAATTTCTCGGAACAGATACTGAGGATGGAATAGAAGCTATATTTAGTAAATGGCAAGGACATTCACTACACGAATTTATTGATGGAGATGACCCACTTCGCCCATTCATAGATTTTGATTTATCCCAAGAAAATTTGATAAAATCGAACCCAAACTTACATGTAAAGAGATATGAGATTTACTTTGCCGTGCCTTTTCAAAAACTTGTAAAGAAATATACCCAGAATAGGAATCCCATACTTTAACAATTGCTAGCAGTAGTGAAAGAAAAAAATGTCACTCCATATCTTTACTTTTGGTTTAAGACTAAAAAATATTGCCAAAGTTGCAGTGTTTACTGAGCTTGTTCGTAATAAACTCCCAGTAGGACTGCAAAGCAAGGAAATTGTTGATAATATTGCTATCAAAAGCTCATTTTCCTTACGAATTCTTAATACCCCGAAGGTAATCGAAATAAAATATAATGAAAGTGATAAAAAAATGTATAAGCATATCCGCCCAAAGAGAGCATTATTTCCAAAAGGTGGAACTGTGTTTGACTTTATGCTTCGTCCTTCTAATGATGAATCTCCTGAAGTAAACAGTTCTCTTTTAGTTGTTCCAGAACCTGTATCGACAAGAATATATAACTCCCAGAATAAAGCCACTGATATTACTGAAGTCGAACTTGAATTGCTAGAAATATTACTCAAAGATGCTAATATTGAAGGATATGAATTATTACTCCCGACAGATAAATTTCCTGATACATTCCCTCTCAAACGCATAACCCCATCGCACTGCCCATTATGTGAACGAGAATATAGTAATACAGATCCACATGATAGTGAAAATGCGTATATTATCTGGAATAAAAAATCATATAGTTTCTACTGTCATTATGCAAATCAAAAAAAGAAACCTGGTACAAGAAATCCTTCGTTAAAGCTTGTTATTGATGAAACAATTTTGGATTGGAAAAACAACCTTCCAATCCCAGAGAAATTAGACCGGTCCAGAATTTCAAATCCAAATGACAATTTCATATGGGGAGACTTACTTCGTATATGTATGTCTAAGAAAAAATTTACACATAATGAGGCATATAGTGCAATTCAGGCAACAATAGCATGTGTTTAGCAGAGAAAAACAACCTAGATAGTTAAACTTAAAAATTCCGATGGTCTTTATTTTGATATGGGACGTGAATTAGATCTTGCAAAGTATACAATTAATATAATTGAGCATGGAGGAGAAGCAGTAAAATTACATTCTCTGATAGATAGAGCAGTTACAGAAAATTTAATACATTATGATGAAATCGATTTTCTCCCATATCCTCCAAATGTAATCTCACCAAAAACAAATTTCTTTAATCTTTTCCTGGGATTTCTAGCTAAACCAGTAAAAGATATTAATCCAGAAATTATGGATCCTATCCTTTGGCATGTAAAAAATATAATCTGTAATGGAAATGAGAAACTCAATAATTATATCTGGAACTGGTAGGCATATTTAGTACAAAAACTGGGAAAGAAACCAAGATCAATTTTTGTATTAAAATTCACTTTACAACAGTGTGGAAAAAATATTATTACTAATTTTATTGGTGATAAGGTATTAGGGCCAAATCTCCATTACGCAACATCTAATTTGGAAAAAATTCTTGGGAAATTTAACAGTGTTATTCAAGGTAAAAAGCTTATAGTCATGAATGAAACCAGTATGTCTAGTGGGGAGTGGCATAGGTTTAATGGTCATCTTAAATCCCTTATAACAGAGGGAAAGGTAAGTATAGAGCGCAAAGGTCTCGAAACTTTAAGAATAAATAATTTTAGTAGATTTATGGTCACAAGTAATCAGGATGCTCCGCTAAAAATAGAGGCAGGTGATGCTCATATAGTTTGTTTTGATGTGTCTGCATGTTGTAGAGGTAATATTGCATATTTCGATAGACTAGGAGAAATTTTTGATCACCCCGATGTACTAGAAGTAGTCATGTCATATCTTCTTAGCCGTGATCTGTCAAAGTGGAGTCTGCAGAATTTCTCTATTACTAAAATGAAAACAGATACAATAATGAAACAACTTCCAAATCCCACCCGCTTTATAATACAACATATTAAATTATGGTCCAAAAATCAAATCAAAAAACCAATCTCTGGAAATTTATATCAAGATTATCTTACTTGGTGTGGAAACGAAAACGAGGATCGAATCAATAACAATAAATTTGGAGGTTTTCTCCCACCGATAGAGATTGAGAAAAAGCAGATACGAATCAATGAAAAAAGAGAATGAGTCTATATCCTTGACCGATCCAAGATCGTAGCTAAATTACGTGAGTCAATAGGTGATATTGAGGAATTTTCCAACATACCTCAACCTGAGACACTCACCAACGAATCCACAGATATCCCCGTATTCGATGTCCCAGAAATAAAACCCCCTAAACCAGAAAAAAATATACCGAGACATCAACCACAGATCGCATCGAAAAAGGCAAGGATTCATCACCCGCACCTATTCTAGCAGTTACTAATATGACCCAGGATCTCTTCGATTATATAACAGGTCAATCAGAATATTCAGTTGCTTCGTCATCCAAGACTACTGATATATCCATGACTCCCGAGATCGAATACGTAGAACCCATGGATGATAAATTAGAACCTTCTTTTAAGATCATTGAGGAACCAGAGATTCGAGACTATGCCTCATCAGCAAATGATAAGCCCGAGACCAATAACAAAAAAGCTAGCACCCAATCGAAAACATATTCACATGGATATATACCCTGAGCAGAAAGGAAGGCATGTTTAAGAGAAACTGCGATTAAATATAGCGAAGACCCAGATAAGTTCATAACCATAACTGAAGAGGATAGAGACTTAGTGAAGATATTCTGAGATAAAATGATAGCAGATGCAGATATAATCGATTTTGCGCGAAAAGATGGGGATGATTCAGAGAAATATATTGAATTGTCCAGGCAAGAAAAATTGATATATATGGAGATTAAGCTTCGGATGTATGAAGATGATAGTGAATCCCGATCATATACATGTATTTATGATGGTGAAAAATGGGAAAAAAGTATAACAAAACTCGAAGAAAATGGATATCTATAGTAAGTTATATAAATATATCCAATTCCGATAAAAAGAGGTGAATAAGGTGAGTTTTATGGATAAAGACTTAGATAGGGAGTTTTTTCGTCTCCATATATGGTCGATATAAAATTTCAGATAAAAAATATTACAAAAACAATATGTTTTCATGCTCTATATATACCAAAAACAAAATGAAAAAAACTTCAGAAAAAGTACTTAACCTATTAACTGACCAGATAATAAATCAGAATGGACCAACATTCCATAAATTAATCTGCAATGGATATAAACATGTTAGTGATTTATCGAATTACTCAGAAATATCTGAACATATCGATTATGGTTACTCCAATCATACAGCCTTCTTATTTAATATATAGAAACCGGCAATAATACCACCACCCGAAATATTACAAAACAGACTGGACATATATCACAAATATCTTATAACTGTTGAATCGTGCCAGAATTTATTTGGATAGGTGTACTGAATAATAGAAAAATGAATCATAAATCTTAATATAACCTGGACCTCTATCTCTAGGCTATATTTTTTCATTATATCCCATATAATAGTAAATTTCAAATCGACGTCCCGGTTACCCTGTAGGTAGACATAAACTCTCTTTTTTCTGAGTATATGAGGAAAAAAGCATAATTAATTTCGATTTGAAAAGATATTTTCCATAGTGTATATAACCTAAAGAATTGTTCATAAACTATCTAACCTATTATAACATTCAATCATGTCAGCTATCGCAACTAAAATTGTTGAAAAATATAAACTCACTCCAAATATAGATATATCTGAACTTAGTCAATATACCCCTGAGTTTCTCAAAAACCTTACAGATAATAGAAAAAGAAATCAGGCTTGAAGACGTCTTCGGGATGGCTTTAAATTTAGCGATGAACAGGTAAGTATATTGATATCTAATCAGAGAAGCGGGAAAAACAAGATAAAAAATATTATTGAGGGCAGTTGCAAAATAGCTATAGCTTCACCCAAAAGATTTGGAAGAAGAAATTGTTAGAGAGATAGCAAAACGAATCTTGCAAAATAGATATGGGTTTAGTGGAATCAAGTGAATGACTTATTCTCTATCCAGAAAAATGACCAATGTGAAAATACCTATCGTGAAAGTGTCTCTGGTAAAACCTTAAATATTGCGATTTCTAACAAACCCCCAAAAAGAATAGAGGAGACTAAAGGAGAGATGGCGCAACGGATTTTACAGAATAAACTTACTATTAGAGATGTAAGAGCTGAAGCTTATGCTTTAGCCCTATCAGCAAAAAATGCTAATACTGGTTCATTACGTATTTTCTGGCTTTGAAGAGAATTAAGAAATATTGGTGCTTCACCCCAAATTATCAAGGCCACGAAATTTCCAGATATTACAGAAGAAGCTAACAAAATCCAGATGAACAATCGGAAAAAGGCTAAAACTAAATATATTAATTATCCAGATAAATTTACATTAGAATCGGTTAAGGAAAGATTAGATGCGTATGATATTAAAACTTTACCTGATTATCAGGCTCTTGCAGATGTCATAGTGATGCTTTGTATCCGTCCTGCTGAACTTAGAACTTTACGTATTACAGATGCTGGAGTAACAGGATATGCGAAGAATCAGGGTCAACCAGATATACCTACTTTGCAGAATTTTTAAAAAAATAAATATATAATAAAAATATATTAATTATATTTTAAAAATATTTATGCTAAC